CATAGACATTTTTTCCAGCAGTTTCAAAAATCCACTTCAGAAGGTGTTTGCCTCTTAGAGTCAGAAGCAAAACTAGAAAGATAATATTGGTCGCTCATATTTATCACCTTTGTATTTTTAAAAAGAAAATGTGAGGACCTCTGAATTTTGTCTAGAGTATATGACACGGAAGGAAAAAAAAAAAAAAAAAAAAGCAGTTCCAGTGCCTTTCAAGTTAAAGAAATATAAATTAAAGGTAATTAAGTTGGCACAAAAGTCTACATATAGTTTACTGCAATACAGTAGTCCCAAAATATGTTTCCTTCTGAAAAAGATCCAGCTTTCCCCACTTTTGCAACTGAAGGCATTTCTTGTGCCACTGATCCACACTGCCTACTATCACTTCAGCAGCAGACCACATTGCAATCTATGAGTGGGAAACAATGAGTAAGGCACAATGATTTGCTCCTGTTTCCCCAGCAGCCAGGCCACCATCCATCACAAAGTCCACCAGCACAAATCTTCAAGGCACTTGGAAAGCAAAACACTCTGCACACACCCCCAGCCAGAACCCTGTCCAGGCTATTTATCCTGGGAGTGGCTGGAGGAGGAGGGATGTGGCTCCCCCTCTCCGGCTGTGCTGCTGGCAGGGAAAGGCATGCCTTACCCAGACTCCTTGAAGCACAGCAGCCCCGCAAGTCTGTGGCTGTTTTTGCTTGCCAGAAACAAAGGGAGAAGATTCACTTTCTTTTTAAGAAGAAATACATCTTTACTTGGGGGGTAAAGGCACCAATGCTCTCCCCTTTATATTCAGTAACCTAACTGCCTACAGTATCCGGGTCAAGAAGGACCCAGATCCAGTAGGAAATCAGGACAGGACTGAAAAAAACATGGTCCACAAACCATTCCAGGCTGTGCCTATCAGGAAATTCTGGACACTTTGCAATAATCCAAGCTAGGCCATTGTTATTCTGTAGAGAAATACAATGCCTTAACAACCTCAAAGTTGTTTGTCAAGAGCTTATAAGAGAAATGCCATGGTCATGGAGTTGCCATGCGAGATGGGGACACACATACTACCCAACCCAGCACATAGGCTCTTTTCTTTTCTGGTGCTCAATGATGCACAAATAGAAACAGTATTTCAACAGTTAGAGACACCAGTCATTAAAAAATGAAAATTGATCCTAGAGTGCAACCTTCACTCAAACAATTACCAAGATTTTGCAAGCCAGGTGTGCTGTTAATCAGCTTGGGAGTGTGGAAAGTGTGTCAGGCAGTCAAGAAACACCAGTGGAGGAGAGAAGGAGAGGTCTGGGCACACAAAGATAGGCCCTTCTCAGAATTCTCCCCTGCTTTCAACAAAACCAAACCAAGGTACCAGACATTCAGATGTTCACTGTCATATATACCAGCACATCAACGGAAGTGCAAGAATGCACAGGCAATGCTTCCACACGCTTTAAAGAAACTAAGCTTGAAATGTAAATGAAGAAAACCAAAATTCAGGTTCCCTGACATGTAGGTAGAACATCGGCTCCCATTCCTTGACAGAACTTTCTTCTCCCCAGGGAATAATTCTGTATTTCTGTCAAAGCAACCCATCAGCCGTGCACCTGATCCAAAGTCATTCAGTGACAAAACAGATTTTGCCATTGACATTTATGGACCATGGTTGAAGCCTTAAGCCTCTGCTTTGGCTATGAGGAAAAACACATGGGGGAAAACAAGAAGTGTGTAAGTTCAGCCCTAATGCAGCACTGCTGAGGAGTGCCACATCTCTGCAGTATCACCTCGTGACACCTGAAAAAGTCAAAAACACATCAGATGCTAGATAACCCCTGCCAGCTGAAGCCATTACTGCCTCAAGTCCCTCACGATCAAGCGCTTCTGGAGAGCAGCGTTCTCCCTTCAAATTATCAATACTCCTAAGGCAACAAATGAGGACCATACCTAAATTGAAATCAATCTTAAGGAAAAGGAGATGGAAAAAGAAAAGACATACTTTATTTTCTCAAAAGTTGGTTTTCTTTTCACCCTACTAAACTGATAGAAAAAATAATACAGCCCATTGTGAAAGATGAAGCAGTGAAATGCCCAACATATAAAGAACTAATCCAGTAACTGAAGATGCTGGAGGGATCACGAATTGATTGCTCTATTCTTCTTTCAGTGAAAGAGTTGTATGTATTTTTCCCCTGGCATTATGTGTAGCAGGAGCTCTTCAAATACCCCATTTAGATGGATTTAAGCTGAATTTAGTGTCCCTCAAATTACATGCACTTTTGTTTCTGAAAGGGAGGAAATTGCACTTATGTAGCAAATTCTAATTTTGTGAAGGAAACAACAGTGAAAGGACAACTGCCACACAGTACCAGTTACCACTCCCAAATTCTTCCTCATATCCTTGAGCATTACCAAGACCATAAGTGACGGCCTGTGAAGAGTTCCCCACTCAGCCCTGATGGCAAAAGAGCTGCATTCAATTACCTCTGCATCCATATGATAAAAAAAGCCAGATACACAGCAACAGTGCTCAGTAAGTGCTGGCAGGTCACCACCTAGAGGTGCTCAAAGCCAGCTCTTCTGACATCTGGAGAAGGCAGCTCACCTCTGAGAGTGCTCAAACTGTTGGTTATTCAAAGAGAAGACAGTGGTGGTGTTCTAAAGGAATAAGTGCTCAGAAGAATTACTTGCCTTTTGATTTAAACCTCTGAATATGAGACAAAGCAAGCTCAATATGGATAGGCCACTGAGAAACAGCTAACTTCCATTAACGTGTTATTAAGGGCTCATCACAGTGATATCAAAGTGAATCCCATGTAAGTACAAAGCAGAGCAAAACACTTTCTTCAACAACCTCTCCTGGATTCTCCAAACAGTTTAACTGTGTGACACTATAAAACCCAGTTAAAGACAATTTTTTTTCCCCATTTTTAAGCAGGGAAGGAATTATATTTTAGTTACAATCTTCCAGAGCTACTGATGAAAACCACAAGACCATAAAGTATTTTTGCTCACAATGATAAGATTGTCTGTTACACGTGGAATTCACATATTAAAGCTGGGTATGCAGTGTAGCATTACTTTAATTTTGCATTTTCCATGTGTTTCATCTCAAAAGCTGTTTAACCTTTTGACCCTCAATATTTGTTTTGAAGAGCAAAGGAAGAGAAAGCAGACACCAGCCAATGTTTTCCTCTCTTCAACCAGCACCACTACTGCTAAGTTCTCAGAACAAGGTTTATAGCAGCCAAGGGTCTAACTACTACAATCTGTAATAGGGAGTGATAAAGACAGAAGCACACTGATCATGCAGCAGTGCTTCTCAGTACTCCTAAGCAACATTTCCTTGGTTATTTGATGTACAAAAAGGAAACAACCACCATTCATGAACAACTGCACAGGATGAGACAGCATCAATCTATTCTGGAGCAAAACAGCATTTAATTTTGTGTGGTTAATATTTAATAAAAACAACAGTAAAACACAGGCCTATCAAGTTGCTTTGTAAGTCCGAGCCCATATCAGTTAAGGGAAAACATGCGGCACGCCTATAGCCAGTAATAGCAAGCTGCAGGGCAGAGCCTCACTTACGCCTGTGCACACAGTATTGCTTCAGTCCGCTGCTGAAATTGCCAGAAATATTATTTTATACTGCAGTGTATCCCATCCTCACACAAGAGTAACAGGCTGCACGGCACACAGCCCTGGCCGCCAAATTGAAACATGACTCCCAGACCTGAAAGTGATTCATTTTAGACCAAATGGTACAACACAGCAAACCTGAACTAGCATGCAAAAACTTTCTTTGAAAAGATAAGAGTTGCAGCAGTTCTTAGCAGCAAAAAGATTGCAGCTACCCCAATTCCCCCACGCTTTGAGAACACAAGTTGCTGACAGGGTCTCCCCCAAGTTATTTTGCCTTGAAACTTCAAAAAACCCCAACCAAACAAGCAAACAAAAACAATTAAGAAAACTACACACAGAAAACCAACCCAAACCTGGAGCAAATGAGGATTGGAAAAAAAAAAAAAAAAAAAAAAAAAAAGAAGAGGGGATTTAGGCAGCTTCTAACATTCAAAGACAACTGAAATCTGTGAAGGTGTGAGCTTGTTTCACAGAGATATCCCCAAGAAAATTAAATGTAGACATTCCAAAATATTATTGTGATAATGAAAACTTTGCACATATTTCCATAGGAAGCAGTATTTTGGTATTGTTCCCACTGTGGAGCTATTTTAAAAGAACATAGGAAAAGAAGTGAGAGGAAGAAACTTGGTCCCTCTGGTTCCACCTCAGTCTTCTCACTTCAGTTTGCTAACGGCTTTTGTCCTCTGGCTCCCCTTCTGCTCTCCCCCGCTCCCGGTCTTTCTCTAATAAATCACACCCTTGTGCTTGTCATTCATCTTCTGCCTGTCCTTTACCTTTGTAAACATCATGGATACACCGACACTGCTCCCATCGGACTTGAGCAGGCTCTTCGTCCGAAGGACTGAGAAAGTCAGGAGAGAGAGGTGGCAACCATTTTTTAGCTAGGACTTTTTCCACTGCCTTAATTTGGTATAAATAAATCCAAAGTGAATTCGGGGTGGAAGGGGTGACGAAAGGCGGGGGGCGGGGGGGGGGGAAGGAAAAAAGAAAAATATGAGGTCAAACCCTAAGTAAGTCCTGTTAGCGTTCCTTAATCAAACAAGTGCCCATCACTTATTCCAGGCCAGCCCCGGAGACGTTAGTCCAGCAGGAATAGCAGCCTGACCCGACGCCTCGAACCCAGTCGAGCCCATCCCGAAGGAGCCCTTCGCCGGAGAGGACCCCGACGATCGCGCCGCCCGGCACAGCACTGCGCGCCTCGGGACCAGACCAGGTTCGGAAACACGAGAGAAACAGCCAAAGAGAGGAGGCGAAGAGCGCCGTGGGCACGGAGCGCTCGGGGAATGGGAAGCAGGCACCTTTTCGCGGGCGAGAATGGTGGGACCCCCCCGCCCCGCTCCGCCCCCGGCCCGGCGCGCTGCGCTTACCTGCGGGGGCTGCGCGGGCGCGGCTGGAGGGAGCGCGGCGCCGCCGCCGCCGGCGCGCATAGAGGGAGGGAGGGAGGAGGAGGAGGGCCTGGAGGCAGTGCGCCTGCGGCCGCGCTCCATCGCACTGCCCGGCCGGCCGCGGAGCCTACCGCGGGCTGCGCGGCCGTGGTATGCAGGTGTTTCTGGGACAGCCACGGTTCTCGTCCTGTGAAACTTTGGAATCTCCTGCCGATGTCGGCAAGAGGCGTTTGGGAGCCCCAGTCACAGGAATAGTCAATTTACAGGTTCACCGAGCCCTCATCCTTGGAAAGGCTCAGGGTTGCACAACAGATAGTTTTCCAGATTAGAATAACTATTTTATTATACAAAACCAGGTTCAAATTGCTTTTTCTTCCCCACCCCCTGCCCTCCATAAATTTTTAGTGTGAAATAGTCACATTTAATTGGATTGCAGGAGCATCTAGAGGCCACTTTTGCATGTAGTTGCATCAAGTGAAAAGACAAATGTTGCACAACACTTAGAGTTCAGCAGCTAAATGGCAAAGCACTTCTATCTACAATCTGTAGTGAGATTTCTGGGGAGGTTAGCTACAGCTATGCGAGCCATCAGTGCCTCCAGCAGCACAAAAGCCTAGTATGAAGCACCAAGACCACTTAAAGCACTCGTATTTCTTAAGGACCCAAAAAGCAGTAGAGACAATTCTCAAGTCTGATGTTTGCTTTTGTGGCACCAACACCGTCTGCTACTGTCAATATCTGCTGCACCACAGGTATGGTTATTAACAAAGGTTTTGGCATCAGTGAGAGCAGGTCTCTTGCTGTCATGGCTGGTGAGATGCTTTCTCTTTAGGAAGTTGTCACCACACAAACCTTGTTTTTGTACTCAGCGCTGTAATTTTGCTCTGAGACTAGTCCAACATGCTGGAAAGTTTTGTTAAGTACTCAGCAGGCTATTAACTTTGGAAAGTGCTGGATTTCATCTTCTACCTGTTCAAAGCAAGCTACGAAGTGTTTGCAGGAGGTGACCAAAAAGCATGTTCTGTTACAAGCTCTAATAGATGGTTTAGCATCCACACACCAGTTATGTGACAGGTCTTAGTAGTTTTCTCACCTATGCACAGGCCACATCTGGGCTGGACAACTGCAGTCTTGAAACAATGTGCTCAAACTCCATGTGTCCTCTCCTGATGGTAGGAAAGGGATGATATACACGAGTCACTGATTAGAGAGCAGGTCTTCAAAATGTAGAATTGATTATTCCAGTCTTGTGGCAGTATATCTGCTGTAGCTTCATTATAAACCAGATTTTACTCATCTTTTTGGGACACAAACTGCCTGTACATGTGTACAAAATCTGTCCTGTCCTCAGCCAGTTGCCCAGATACCACTATAACAATCAAGATTAACTTGAATGCAATCAAATCTTCAAGCAAATGGTGATCTGACAAGATTTACATCTCTGTGGGTGAGACCTACAACCGCAGGCATGCAGGAGTCTTCTTCAGCAGGACAGTGCTTGCTGCTAAGAGCTAGTATATCTGCAAATTGGAAATCACCACTGCTTAGCATCCCTATGGTTAGTCAAAACGTGCTGGTTAGGATGTCCTCTGCTGCAACTCCAGCTACTGACCCCTGAAGGAAAATAGCAGAAAATAGCATCCTGAGCTCATGGGAAAATGAGCATGAGATGGAATTATATGAAGGTAAAATGATCAAAAACATTTTAAATAAAACTATTTTTGAGTCCAGTTTCAGTGAACTGATGTAGTTAAAGCAGCAATGTTTTTTCAGTTCTTATGTTTTCTGTTAGTGACTTCAGGCGTGCTCGCTCAGCCCTGAAACATTGACTTGTAATTTATTCAAGGATAATGTCATTAATTCTCAGTCAGCCACTCTTGCTCTAAACAGAAAATATAGGGAATATTCAGTAAATCTTACAAACAGGCAAATATTGAAAGTCCAGGGAAGATCACATGGTCTGATGTTTAATGAATGTAACTGCTATGAGACTTGGCTGTGGTGCTCTGTGGTCTGAGACGTGTTTATGTAATCACACACAGATGTACTGAATTGCATTAGATAGGGAAGTAGTTTTCACATCCTTCAGTCTGGAAAAACTTTTGTTTCCAGAACAAACCATGTAAGTTCCATGTGCTCAATTTAGTGAATTGATTCAAATCATAAGTATGCTTAACATGTGCAGACACTGATATACTTATATTTCATTCTCAGCATTCATAAAGTTTCAGCTGAGTGGCAGCAAGATTAGTCATACAAACCCAGAAAAGTTAAACATCTAATTCCTCTTTGGTCTGGGCCTGGAAAGTACCTCTGGTGTTTTTAATTAAAAAAAAAATTCTGGGAATTTACACTTAAGATGTCTCTTCACTCTGTCACTTCTCTAAGCAGCATACTCTGGTGAGGGTAGCAATGGAAAATTTAATTTTGGATTGGAAATGTGTTGAAATTTTCAGTGCAATGGATGCTTTGAATGAAACATTCGGTGAGATCACTACTAATTCCTGTGGAAAAAAATGGCATGCTTCAGCTCTATCCAAGATAGGAATAATTAGAGACCTTGAACAGTATATTCACTTTTTATTGACCAGCTTTTATTTCTTAGAGTCCCACCATTTGTGGAAGTCCCAGATTGCTAAAACATGTGTACATTACAAAGAACAGCTCCAACAATTCACAAAGAATAAAGCACTCTCTGGAGTCTGAATTTTTGCTCATTTGTTACGTACATACTCTCTGAAGCCCAGTGCTCACATGCTGGGGATCTCTGTTCAGTACAGGCTGCAGAGGAAATAACATTACCCACAGTTAGAAAACTGAGCAAATAACATTACCTACAGTTAGAAAACATGCTGTTTTCCAGAGAAACTTCAGACACATCAGAAATCTCACAGAAAGAAAGCATCCCTATCCATAAAGCTATGTCATCTTTGTTCTGTGGCAATGCTTCTGCCTTGGTTAAGTCTCCTCGGAGCTCCTGCTATGATGCAACTGCATTGCTTGATGTTCTGTGAGCCACAAACTCCTCTAAAACCTCCAAGTCCTCAAGGCAAAAGAGCAGCTTTTTTCATGGGAACTCGGTCTCTCCCTGGTTCAGCCTCCTATTGTCTGGACCTGAGGATATCTTATTCCTTCTGAAGAGTAGCAGATTGCTGAAAAGCGAATGTGATAATAGCTTTGGCTCTTCATGGCTTTCTGCCCATGCCCAGCCCCTAACAGCAGGATTGCAAGGCCAGGATTGAAGGAAAAATAGGTGCCTGAGCATGTTGAGGATTAGGAATATATCCACAAAAGCAGAGGAGGTGGTTGATTGTCACAGCCTTTATGGCAAAATCTATCAGATCAGGCTGTTTAGACAATGCCTGCACCAGAAATAAGAGCAGTATCTGTCCAAGTGACCAGGGCTCAGGGCTCTTCATGAAAGAAGGTATGGGTTTGTCCTGGCACTTGCAACATCCTTGTTGCCTTGAGATAACTGGACTAGGTTTTGCAAGATGCTTCAGGCAGTTCCCACCAGAGATGAAAAGGAGTTCAGTGCATTAGTTACTAATCCAGAAACAACTCATACAGAACCATAAACCTCTGTGTTACTGTTAAGAGTCTTACGGATCACATGCCATGGGATGCATCAAAGAGAGATGATGGCTGTGTGAAGCATATGGGGTTTGTCTGGAGTACGCATGGAGCAAAAGGTTGCCAGGAAGCTCTTGGATGGGAGGCCAGGAAGCTGTTGGTTGTGGCTTCACTGTAGTGAAGGAGGCGAGACAGTGACGGGGAGCTACAGTTTTGTGGTAAGCACAGGCTCAGGGATAGCTGCAGGTTTCGTGGAGGAAGGTGTGGGGGGAGGCCGGACAAGCATCTCCCATGGGGAGCATAGAACACTCCCACGTGTCCTTCAGCTCTGTGGAACACCTGCGTTGGAGCCTGGGGCTGGGTCACCACTGCTGTTTCAGGGAAGCTCTGTGTTTATGCTGCCCAAACACAGCTACTCATTCAGCCTTCTGTTTTCCAGGTTGTTGAAAAAACCTTTGTTTGTAGGGTGTTAAGGGATGACTAGATAGTGAATGTTCTGATTTGTCTTTTCATCAAGCACAAGGCTCTGGTCTGCCATAAAATGAATGAAATCCCCTTTCTAATGAGGGGGGAAATGAGGATACAGGGAAAACAAGGAAAGCTTTACCTCCAGAAAGTGCAGTGGCAGCTGTTAGGTCCATTGCTGCAGTACCTGCCCCTTTGGTTCTAACTGCAAGGTCCAATGAACATAAAATCCTGCTCCAACAGTGATTCTTAGTCAATAGACAGCATCTAAAATCCATAATTTATCCTGTCTGTGCCCTTTCATTTTGAACTGGATGATATTTTTGCACCAATAAATTGAGTGCCATGCCTCTGTGCAGTATATAACTTTGTGCATCAGTTTGGTCTGGTTAAATGCCAGGTCTTACATGGACCTCCTGGCATGAATCCAGCAGAGGACAGCAAAGGAGCTGGAACATCTCTCTTACAAGGAAATAATGAGGGAGCTGGGCCTGTTCAGCCTCAAGAACAGACATTTGAGAGGGGACCTCTTCAACATCTATAAATATCTGAAGGGCCAGTGCCAAGAGGAGGGAGCCAGGCTCTTCTTGGTGGTGCCGGTGGTGCCAAGCAGTAGGACAAGAGGCAATGTACAGAAACGGATGCTCAGGAATTTCCACCTGAACATGAAGAAGAATTTCCTTACTCTGTAGGTGAGTGAGAACTGGAGCAAGCTGCTCAGAGAGGTTGTGGACTCTCCCTCACTGGAGAGTATCTGGACACAATATTCAAGAAGTGTCTGGACACAATTCCCTGCTATGTGGTCCAGGATGACCCTCCTTGAGCAGAGAGGTTGCACCACATGACCTGCTGTGGTCCTTTCCGATCTTACCCATTCTGGGATTCTGTGGGCTTTGGAAAGCTGCTGAAGCTATCACTTGAAAAAATAAATAATGCCAAGTGAAAAACTCAGCACTACATTAGAATTTTTCCTTCAAGAGACAGTATTTCTTACTAG